GTTTCGTTCCGAAACAAGGTCCAGATGGATATCATATTCCGGTAATATGTTATAGATGTGAACAATTGAACAACTGTGGTGGTGGGGGTGGGAGAAGAGGTGAGAGGAAGGCCCTTTGAATGTATCTGGCATCGTGGTAGAATGGCGTCTATTTTGGCGTAACCGCTAACGCGACAACAACAGTTGTTCCACATATGTGTTACCTCCAATTCAGGTCAGGGATATATTGCAAGAATGTCAAAAGCCAAACATCTTAGGTGAATATGTCAAAACTCCTGATCAACGAAGGGTACAACTATCATCGTTTGCAATTGCACGACCTTTGCTAAACTGTGGTTACCAAGCGTATGCATTAAAACAGCTTTGGATCAATAGAGAGCACCAAAAAAATGCGAATTTTGCGATTTTCAGAAGCAAAAATCATTCAACCCGTTGATACTGTAACTAAGATAGAAAACATCTGTGAAACAACTGCTGCTGTCGCGTTAGTGGTTACGTCCAAACAGCTGCCATTTTGTCACGATCTGTGATTTTTACCAGCTTTCGCTCTCATTCTACTACCACCATCACATTCACAATTTATTACCAAAATTTGGTATCCATCTTTGCTCTCTCTCGGAACAACACCCAAGTACCTGACTCACTTGTCTACTTTACTGTTCTAATGACTATTTCCAACTCGTATGTTTCTTTGTTTCACATGATTTAATAAACGTGCGTTTACAAATGAACTGATGTGCTATGTCAATTCAGCTTACATACATTTTCTTGCTGCAATGAAATGGATAAATTTCATTGCTGAGACTTTCAACTAAAGCTATCACTTTTAATCTTTTGGCATCCAAACCTTTTTGTAAAATGCAGGGTATCTCCTTTTTTGAGACAGATGGCAATCAACGCCGAAAGATGAATATGTTGCGAAATCTCTCCATGTTATTCCGTCTCTCCCTTTTGCTGACGTAAAATTTGCTGACATATATATATATATATATATATATATATATGTCCAGTCATTCACATGCTACTTATTATCAAATATTCTACCAAGACCATCAGGTCACGTTTGTTGCGGTTAGTGGCATCTAAACCACTTACAAAACATCGAATCATAGCACTGATTCTTCATTGGACTAGCTCTAAAAGAGCTGTCTATCCAATGATCACCCGGTGGTGCAAACATGTTTATTGTGACGAATATATATAATTATATATATTATGTTTCATGTGGGGTAGTATCATATTCAATCCCAGACTGAAGCTCGAAACGCCAAGCATTCAGAGGAACAAATGTGATGAAAGTCAGCTCTTTGCAAGAGTTTGATCAACACCTGTAGAGTACGCTTTTCGTAATACCCGCTTATCGCAAAGTGATTTTCGTGAAAAATATCTGGTTGATAGACAAGTGATTCAAACAAGATTATTTTGTTGCACTTTGATGGAGACTTTATGCTAAATTCAAATAATCTTAACAATTACTTCACTTGGAACCCGCTTATCATTCAAATAGTAAACATTATGCCTGCCAATGATTTGGTAGAGTAGAATATATAGACACATCAGTGCAAAGTGTTAGCGTGATGTTTATAAATTGCAATTTAGATCATTCAAGTAATATTATTGGTAATAACCTTCACTAAGGAAATTCAAACAATTGTTCGGTAATAATTTATTTTCGGATATCAAAACTATCCTTTCGTCGTTCGACTTTTTAGGATGATTTGGTCATTTTTGACGCATATTTCTTTTTACGAATAACACGTGGAGGAGTTTTCATGAAATGTTTCATAGATTGCCTGGAAGTCCATTTAAAGGCATTTAAAATTGACGAGTGATGATTAATTCAACTTCATACGATAACATTGCTTCGAGATCTCAAACCACTATCGGAACTATTTCATCTCACCTAAATGGTAGTCTTCAGTCAGTCAGTCGGTAGTAGCTTTATGCATCCGCATGGATGAGTTTTCAGCATTTACACCATATTTGTGGATTCATAGTTATAAAATCATTACATAATGAAACTGAAAGCAGTAGATTGTGTTTGTCAATAAAGCAAGCATCTGCGCAATTCCGTGGGGAGTTTCTCTTTCTCAGTAAGTAGACGTGCTAGATATGGCAGAACAAAATTACGATAAGCAGAGGCACGACCAAATGAAATTTTAAATCTTGAGCGTGTAGATGATGTAGCTACAGCTTTGAAAATTTGTTGTGTAATGGGTGGTAAGTATCTGAGAGTATTTTGGCAGTGAAACTTTCGCATGCTAGTAGGTGTCTGTCTATGATAGAACCCGAGAGTTTATCCCTGCCAATACCACTACATTTAGAGATGTGTTACAGAGATCTCGCCAGTAAATAAAAGTCTTTCTCCAACATACCGGGAAAAATCACCGGGGAGCAATACAACTAGCGGGGTAGTACGCTTACATTCACACATCTAATAATCAGCTTATGGGGAACAGAAAGTAATTGCAGTCGGAGTGAGAAATGTGAAAGCTTTCTAACTTTACGGAATGTGTTTTGAATATGCGGTGACCATGATAAATTGTGTAATTGGGTAACGCCAAGGTATTTTACTATTGTTGATTTCGGTACGAATTGTTGATTGGCAGAGAAGGTGAGGAACCTATCTGTGAGAGCTGAATACGTACATCAGCCAAAAGAGAAAATACAACATCTTGGCATTTAGAGGCATTTAATGAGAGGGAACGGGACAAGGACCAAGTAACAACGTCGTTTAACTTGCCTTGAATTTCTGAGGTTTCTTCAGGGGTGGATGCTTTGCAACCTAAAACAACGCCATCTGCGTATTTACAGCCAATGAATGCAGGAGGAATGGCACATTGTTTGACATACATTGAAAAAAAATGGGGGAAATATTGCACCTTGCAGGACGCTAGAAGAAACTGGGCGAGTGGAGGACCTTTTCCGTTGAGGCACGTAAACTGCCTTCTGTTTGTGAAATCATCGCAGATCAATCTGCTACCGTTTGGATTAACATCACTTTCGGTAATCGGGTTGAGTAATACTGATTGATCAAGACTGTTGAAAGCGTCTTCGTAGTCTAAGAACAGAGTTCTAACGGTCTTGCTTTTTTATCTAGTGCTGAACTTATTGAATGAACAAGGTATGCAACGGCATCAAGTGTTGAGCTCGAAGAACCATATGCATATTGATGTATGTCGTCTTCTTCAGACTCAGTGGCAACCCACGGTGACAAGCATCTCTCAAATAATTTGAACATGACTGACTTGCAGACGATGGGACGATACTTCCCAGGTTCCCTTTTGGGAACGGGAGTTATCTTGATCAGTCTCCAAATATCAGGGATTTTTCCGCTTATCAGAGAGTCATTGAATATTTTTGACAATGGGGTTGAAAGGGTGTCCGCACATACTTTGAGTATTACGGGTGATAATTCATCCGGGTCCGATACTATATTCAACTTAGTTTTCAGTAACTGTTTCAGGACTGTTGCGGGTTCGATAGTTGGTGTCGGCATAGAGCTGACTATGTCTAGCAGTGCACTGTGAAACTGGACTAAACTCGGAATTTAGTCTTTCAACGTTGACAGTTTCCTTTTTGCGTTTATTGCTACTGCCACTTAATCGGTTGATAGCACTCCACATACCACGACAACCAGAGTTTCCCACGATAGTGTCGCCATACAATTTCTTCAACCGATTTATTTCTGCTTTGATCGAAATTGTTAGCAGCTTCACATGAGTTCTTTGTCCTTGTTTATAGGCCTGTTCTTTTTGCCTGCGTAGCTGCCTGAGTAGCGGTGATGAATATCTGTCTTTATGAATAAAGACCGTTTCTAGTGGGCAAAATTCTTTAAAATGGAAATTAGGTAGTCTGTAACATGTTAACGGAGGACAGAAGGGTTCTGATCGGGAAACACCGAAAAATCTGTCGTGGCAATCATGGATCTTAGCCTTGCTAGATTTTCTAGATTCTCTAGATTCTAGCCAACGGGATGCACAAGAAAATAACGTTTTCATGTTTCATTCATGCCTACCAGCAGACATCACAGCCTGTGTATATCGACTATGAAACCAATTACCATGTGAGAAATCAATGGACTTTGAAGTAGTGCAAGCCATGAAAATATTACAATACTCAAGCATTTATTCAAAGGATTAGTATAAACTGACCTAAAAGGAGACTGGTCATTAGGGTACTCCCATTCAAAAAAGTTAATCATATGTATATAACTGAACCACGATAACATCTTGCATTAACACACGTTGAGATTGCTTAAATCAGCTATGAGATGTGCGCTATTTTCATAGATATTTTTAATCCAATTGTTTAGACCGCGATTGGATACACCTACATCAATAATTCAAAAAACTGCAATGTGCAGCTGACGAAACCCAATCAGGTTGAAATAACTTTGAAGCACTTGTTATCTTTTCAGTTCACGCTTCAGTGGCTTTATATACGACGAAATCCCTTACATAATTGGGTTATATTCCTCCCCCAGCTCTCCTACATGAAGTAGCCAGGTTGGAATCTTTCCAACCAAGGCCTCACCCTGGAGGTTGTTGTTGAGTTGAGCAAGTCATAATGCCTGCAACAAAAACGCAAATATAGATTCAGTTAAATTTTACATATAAAACAGAAAAGCTCCGATCAGCTACCCGATGGTTATACGGATATTATACATGAGTTCTACTTGTGAGGTCCAGGTTTGATCTGAAGTTTGGTCGATAGATTCGCCTCACTGATGAGATTCACCCTTAGTTAAACGGCAGTACACCTTTTCATTTCACGCCTTGTTTATTCCATACTTGATGAAATCCATTAGAGAGACATTATGAGGATCTTTCCATCCTTCATATCATTTTAGCCCAAATCTCGTTTGCCACTATTTTGAGAAATAAAAACGCAGGTCATTTTTCTTTTACTTATAGAACAACTGGGATATAGTTTATTTCATACTTCATGAGCAATCTGCTAAATAGTGTAAACTATTGAAATGTGGTTGTAGTCACAAATTATTTGTCTTCTTCGTTGATTAAAGCCAGCAGCAGTTTGCGGTAGTCCCCAGATGTGTCCTCCTGCAACAGTAAAAATTCATTACATGGGGTTAATTCAAAGATAGATGATCACAAATTAACAGTACATCAATTTCGACTAAAAGGCTTTACTTCTGATCCAGGTTTTCTGTATGAGTCATTGTTAAGTTGCAATGTGTCATTGGAAAATACATAAATCATTCATATCCTCACGGCAATCTGAAATAGTCAGATCATTTCCCTACATACAACTAAACGGTCTTTCTTGTGAAAAATCTATCACTATTTCAAAGGGAACTGCACTCAGGTTCAACGTACCACAATCCATCTTGCAAGAGATTTGTTATTTTCCAAGGCGAACTCATGCTTGATTCGACCCATGTCCAATTCGCAACGAGTAACAACCAATCGGATTAACATGGTGTCGTTTGTGCCAAGACCCTTCATGGATTGACGGAGCCGTTCAGCGAAATAGTTCGGCTTGTTCCTAATCATCCGAACTTCAAAGGGAAATATCAACAGATTACACACGAGAACTGCAGCATAAAACCCGCACTGCGCAACTGACAAGAGTTAGACGTAGTATTAACAAAGAAAAATCACGAAACTGCGGTCCAATGTATATTAAACCACAATCACGGAATGTTTTCTGCATATAAAGATATATTTTATCATACTATGTATTATCTGCGATCTTTCTGCAACTTGCTACAGCCAATATATACATCTTAACTCACTCAGACCCAAGTATGAATTGAGAAGGTCTCCCGTCAGGGCTTTCTTCAGAGCATCTTCAATCTCACAGCTAGCCAGGCGAGCAAATGCCTCAAAAACAAATCGCATATGCAAGAAAGATCTGGTGCATAGCAATTCATTCAACCTAGAAAAATAAAGCAAGATTATAATGATATGTGATAAAAGACTGCAAACATCATTCAGCTAAATGCTTAACGGAACCAGTTTAACGTAGTATCAGTTTCTGCAATATAAATGAAACAAACTTTGTACTTGAGAAAGCTTCAGGTATATTACCCTAACCCAAACATATATCGCTTGCAGACGAAAAACACAAAGAAGTAGAATAGTGAAACTTAGTTTCGATTCACTGACCATTTCACTTACCGGATATTACGTAAATTCTGGAATGCATAAACTACTTACTGTGATTCTGTGTTAGCTAGACGTTTCTCGCTGGCATCAAACAGGCGTTGTGCATCCTTTTGCGCCAAATTTCTGTCAATCTGCTGGCTCTCACTGCGTTCAGAACTACACTGATTGATAAGCAGCTGTTTGAAGTGTCCAAAGGTGTCATTCCTAATGTCCACAACCAAATCACGGCCAAAGAAGACTGGAAAATAGTAAATAGTACAAAACAACAACTTTAATGCTGATTCCATTTTTTCACCTTAGAATTCTGTCAATTTATCCTGTGTAACCAGCATACAATAAAAAGAACAAAGCCTTACGTACTTGCTATAGTTATAAATGATAAGCATATCATCTAGATATACATAAAATTACAGATATGTTGTGCACTTCTCTCTTTATCTTTTGTCACTGGGACATTATTCTCTAGTTCAAAAAATAATGTGGACATGATTTAAACACTTTTGAATTACATTAGTCAGTAGGCAATTTTCTAGATGCATTTACACTGACTCACTCTTGTTGTATGCCTCTTTAATTCGTTGAACTTGGGCGTTTGAACGGGTGCACAGGATTTCCAGCAGAGTATCCTCATCTGTTGAGTGCCCGCGAATAGCTTTGCGCAACTCAATGGCGTCCACGTCCTCCGCTGAATGGCACAATACCTCAACACACTGGAGAAAATAGCCACTCAGTTCCGATTTGAATTCAGCCATTAGGTCTTTAGAGAACATCAGTTTGTAGTGATCCACTATTCGTGTGCGCTGATCAACCGAACGGTGACCCATGATATCGATGATTGTTTTTTCGTTGGTCCCGAACCCCTTCATTGCTTTGTTCAACCGTTCGCAATCTTGAACAACATCGAACCGGGGAAAGGGTCTTAGAGTTGGCTCATACTGCGTTTGCAGGGTAATAAAAAAAGCAAAATGCAAGCAAGTGTAGATCAGGTAATGTGGAGCTAAATTCCTCTGTTTTAATTAGGATTAATTGAAGTTCACCTTGCATTCACAAAACCACTTACCACTTCATCCATTCCAAGAATACGACCACCGTGAACGATGCCTTTGTAACCCACATGGGGTGGTACATAGGTAGGGTTTACTCCATAGAAAGGTCCAATATAACGACCGGCCGGTGATGCAGGGATTAGCTCCGGATAAGGAGAGTGGAAAAACGGATAAACTGGAACCGGCTTGCGCAAAGGAAGTTTAGTTTGACCTTTATCCTTGAGTGCTTCTCCAACATAAAGTCCAGTCTCACCGTCGTAAATCATTGCTTAGTTCTTACACCCGATGGCGATCACGGCAATCACATGCCATTCGTCAGATAGATCTTTTATACGATTTTCTGTGTAGACTCATGTGGCGCTCGACATGCGGAGTAGGTTCCTGTGTGTTTTCAGTCTTCGTTTCCAAGGGATCACGTGGTCGATAATTTTCGTTGAGGCACACTGGGGGCAGATACATTCCACCGAATGTGTGCATACAACAAATTTAGGCTCTCTGAAAGTCAAAAGATTCATCGATTTCGTAATCCTAAATCACTGATGGGATTGAGATGCAGATGACGATTATCCGTATCAAATGGTTGGTATGGCTTATCACGCATTACGCGATAAATTTACAATGACATCGCTTTCAGTAAAGACCGATATCCGCGATACATTTTCCATAATGTGATAATTTCACGATGTACTGTATGATGTGAAAAGCAGTGCGGTAGCTTCATTTGTGAGAAATTGCCTGATAGTTTTGTGTTCATAAATGCGGCTGACTTGATGAGCTGGTTTTTTGTGTAGCCCTCAATATGCACGGAACAACTGCTTCATCAATTGCTCTCCACATGCTGCAGATTGGTCACCAAGCCGAACGCTGGACTTCTTTTCGGGTAGTTCACACAACCTCGAATGGACGGCTGCTAAGATTTGCCAAGGCTATAGTAAGTAAGCGCCAAAAATCCCTGCTTTATCCGCAAGAGGAGGTCTACATCAGATTAGCATTGCCTTGGCAACCACGTAAGGGAAATAGTGAACTGATATCATGTTGGATTATCAACGAGTGTGTTATATAAACTGTTTTGTATTCTGCAATAAGCACCAGCTAAGACGCAGAGTTATGATTCCAAGATTAAATAGTGCTTGCATGCAGTGTTGTGTTCATTGCTCAAGTTCATTTCGGGAAATGATTGCTTGAATTAACTCAAGCTTATGTTTGTTATATAATGAATTCATCGTGTAAATGAGGAGTGAGCTGAAAAGATGGGAAATACTGGATAGCCCTTTCGACTTGATTAGGTATCATCAGCTGTGCGAATCCATCGACCCGACTGGAGATCGAACCCGGGAACTCACAGGTAGAACGCAAGTATACTATCAATCGGCCATGGGGCAGCTAATCAGACCGTTCGTCGTTTTGAATGTATACCATATGGCATAAACCATCTTTTCTAACTCGTTGCGGGTATCGATCCTCATTCATCTCAGCACTAGCCTCCAAGGTTGTTGCTCGGTTGGAAACTTCCACCACCTGACTATTTGTTGTATGAGTGCAATGGAGGATTCTATTTGTTCATAAGATAAATTCGTCGTGTACATGTGCATTGCAAGGCGGTCCAAGGTAATAAACGGATCTATTCAACGGAATAATCAGCAGTCCGTTGACCAAATTTCAGTTACTCATCCTATTAATACTCATGTGAAAACTCAGTTGATTTTGTTATTCGACCGCATCAACGTGATCGAATAAATAACGCTGTGTCCCTCAGATAACATTGAGTGTGTTTTCATAAAACAGTTCTGTCGGTGATGATAATTGGTTCCTGAAAACTGGAGTAAATACTAACCGTATGAGGAGTCTGCTTTCTTTTTTTGTATGATGTTGCTTGGATCACGCGTGGATCTTTCTAGAATACTTCAAACACATTATTGAATGTGGAAGACCATTTTTGCTCGCCCCTCAATCCCGATTCATGGGGAATTTAGCAAGAAGGTTTTGACTTTTCGTTTAATCCGGACATTGTTCATCACGAAATGATTTTCATCAGGAACATGGACGGCATTCTCTTCCCAGTTGGCCGTTTTCATCGTGCTTGTTCTACATATCTCACTGTCAGTCATTTCAGATCATGATGATTAGCAGTTTCCTCTCCGTTATAAAATCAACTACTTTGTTTCCCTTCATGTAGTGTAGTCACTTTTCGGGTAGAATCAAATGACAAATCTCAAATTTACTATATATAAGTTGCACTTAAAACATGTTCTCACTTCGACTTTGCGCTCGCAAATGGCTCTCAACAGTTGCACAGCTATGTCCCTAAAAGATAACATTGGATAATTTATGGAGACCAAACGTCTTCGTGAAAAGAATGAGCAGTTTGAAAGGATTTACTACATCGATAATGGTTTCACTGTAGGTAGAAAACCATTAAAAAGCGTTTTTAAGAGAAAGTGGAACCATTCAAATGTGATGGGAATGTTCTTGATAACCGACAAAGAGCAGAGGACAGCTATTTCGTCCTGTTTTAGGACTCGTCATCAGTGCGTACGTTTTGTGTCCCTGTGATGACTCGAACCGCGATCAGTTGGGCCGGGACTTCAAACCCTTGCCCCTGAGCTACACGGCCGATGATCATCACCTTGTACGAATGGCTCAATCAATTTAGAGTATCGAGCTTGGAATAGCCCAACCGAATAGGCTAATCCAAGCTTAATACTCTAAAGGGGAACTATATTCAAATAAAAAATCTAAATATTGTCTTCGGGTGGTGGTGGCTCGGTGGTAACGGCACCAATTTATCACCCCGGGGATGTGTTTTAATATCACCACCATCATCACCATCACTTGCCCCATCAGGTGTTGAATATCAGCCCTTTGATTGGCCGCTTCCCCTTCCTGAAAGTTGTAACTCTGTATATTCAGTAAAAGGAAGTAAAATGAAATGATAAGAAAAAAAGTGAAATTACGGTTGGAAACCAATGCTACTTCCTTAAAAAGGTAGTTTCAAAGAGTCGCTGAAATCAGTTGTCCTTGTCTTTACCCCTAAACTCACGTGGTGTTTCCATTCTACTTGGTACTTCTATTAAAAACTACACGTTCTCCGGTATTGACGACTACTTGCAGTGAGAATACTGCACAACCTTTTCATTATTCTTTCTGTTTTATTTAATTTCCCAGGTTCTATTATTAGAGGAGAACGATAGTCACATTGATCTGATGGGTAAAGGATAGGGTGGGACGGGGGCGGATTAGCTCCACGTTAAAACCAATGCGAATCGGGTATGTTCTTCGTATGGTTACGGATTCCGCGAAGTTTAGCTGGTAGGGTCGTTTCGGACGGTAGACAATTCGGAATGCGTCCGTGTGATTCACTCGGTGACCAGTCTCCTTCATGTGTTTCGTGATAGAGCTTGGAGTGCTCCCAGTTGCGTTCTCCTTTCCTTGCCCCATTCACTCAAACCATCCACAAAATAACACACACACATACACCAATTACACTCCTCCGTTTCACACCTTCATTTGGATAATTAATTCCAACTTTTGATCTTGATAATCGTCAGTATTGTTTAATTGGCCTGTTAACTTCCTGTCTTCGCATGCCCACGTGAACTAACTTTCCCTCTCCGCCTTAAACCCACTGAAACACACGTCATTCTCACCCATTTGTGAACAATTTCCACTCATCTGTATTCCAATTATGGAAAAAATGTTAGTAAACTAGTTACACTGTCTTGTGAACAAGTATGAATCTAGCCCTTGACTCTATTTGTCACCATACCCCATAAACATATATGATGTCCATTTGTAATTGGCATGGAGTAACTGATGATATGCGAAAGAAATGTCGCTGCAGCAGACATCTTGCATAACACTACTGGCCTTTTTCATATTAATTTATTATCAGGTATGCGCTGATCTTAAGAGTAACTCATTCATCCATATGCAGCCACGCTTTCGTAAACAACTGAACCTCACAAACACTGGAACCTGAAGCACTTCTTACAAAACCAACAAAATAACAACGAACGGTAGCCAAATGTATAAGAAGCTGAGAGCCAACTGTTCATTAAACTAGATTTACGGCCAAAATTGACATTTTGATTGTTCAGTACTCTAGGGTACTTCTGTGGTGGTATCACAGAGATGGAATATAACCCGCATATGTCGAGCAAACTTTGTCTGAATCTGGTCAATAACGGTGCCTATATCGATCGAGCATGAGATTGTCCAGTTGCAGCCGCTTGAGGTGTAGCTTACGAATTCTATTGCAACACCATAAGATGGACGTAGGCAATCGCTCAAGCGTTGATTACGCATGATTCATTGGCATCAGCGCAGTATGACTTGATATGAATTTTCATGAGGATAACAAACACAGACAGAAACTAACGCCCACTAGCAAAGTAAACAATCAAGATGCATTATGGGGATTGAGGTCTGTGTAACCGAGGCACGGCTCCAAATCGTCCCATTTGCACTTCAACCGGAGGTTGTGAAGTTTATGCTGAATACTGACTTTAAAATCGCATGAACCTGGTAACTCCGATGAGGTCAATGATAGAGTTTGAAATAATGCTCAGACAACTTGAAATAATATAGAGACTACTTGAAATGATGGCCGGACTGTTTTGTGAGGCGCTCAGGTCAACCAAACAGAAGATATTGAATACCAACTGATTTACGTGTATGGCGAACCAGCCAATTTAAGTGAAGATTTCAAGAATATTAATATATATCCGTTTATTGTGAAGAATGGATAAAGCAAGAATGTCTTTTTACTGAGAGCCGTAGGCCAAGGGAATAACGTGTAAGCATGTTATGGTTCTGGAAAATGAACTTGGTAGTTCTTCTCAGCGATGCCCATATATGTATGAATAGAACGTGTAGATAAAACACTGACTTTGCCATCCAGAAATATCAGGTTCCTCCCACCTTCATTCTAGATGGAGCCCCAGACATGCAATGAACCCCATTTGTGCCGCATTGTTCCTCACATATTATCTCATCGAAAGAACAGGTGTAACCGCATTCTGTTTACCTTGGAAGTATACATCTGACATTAGCGACGAGCCTCGTGGTTCTCGCGAATACACTGGTATTTTCTTATTAGTACAACAGAAGGGACATTACGTTCATTTTTGGCAAGTGGTAACCTTAACCCTGGAACTTGAAGTGGCGAACCACATTTGGCCTCACTAGCAGAGACGTGATTTTTAGCCGGATGACAGCAAAGGCGCCTACCACAGCGACATAAACCGATTGACCGCTTAACTAAATAATGAATCCATCTAACCCGACTAGCCAAACGCTTCTTGTTACCACCCCACTCCTCCCAGTATTGTCTGGTTTGACGGTACATTGCTCTCACATCCCTTACTGTGTTACCAACATCACTGGTAACTGACTGGTGCATTCCATGGTTGAAATTGCTTGGTCCGTTTATTCCCTCATTCCCTTACATAATTCATTCCTCTTGCATATAATGCACACACGCACGCAAGCACAAGCCAAACAGCATTTATTTACTTGTATGCATATGTACAGACACGGACACGATCAGTCGGTCACGTGCACAATTGCCCTGGATTATTTACATGCGTGTACGCACACACTTCTGACGCGGACAGCCCATGACCTTTCATTCGGTTCATAAGTACCTATGCACATACATGGTTCACTCCCGCTGCCACAACCCGATTGGGTACGCTTGATCAGTGGATGGCGTTTGTCACGAGACGTTTGATGGCCTAGTTGTTTCTCACAGGGCTTGTCTTATGATTTTCATTTACTTTGTATTCAAGTCAGTTAAAAGTTTACTTGCACTAGCGAATGCTGGGTACCGCTGATTTGGTTCGAAAACAGCAAAACAGATGTTTATACAGAAAATTATAACATTGTGTTGATACTATATACTTTCAAGCTCCGGTTATTCTGCAGTCCATCCATCGATTGACCGAATTGCATTTTGTTCGCTCATCGACTATTTGGATTTATATAACGATTAAACCAACAATACGTAATGACACTGTTCATAATGACAGGTAATGACGTAGGTTATGAAAAATTTGGCAAATTTTATTTTGCAGTCCAAGGGGAACACATCGGCTGAGATCGTGCAAGGGGTTATCGGACGACATTGGCATAACGTTCTATGCAGTAAAGATTCATTTTTTCTTCACGTCCAGGCTACTTGTGCCTGCGATTGAAGGCCTAAGTGCACTACAACACGGTTTTCCGCCGTGTATACTTGTCCAGGTCCCATGATGAAGTCAACCCCAGTCATCTGTGATTTGGATATCTTTTTCTAAATTATGAGTTTATGAGTAATTGGTTATCTATGTTGTGATTTATTGGCTTGATCACGATCAGATTACTTACCTGTTTGTTCAGTCTGTTTCTGCGTATTTTTTTACCTGTTCCTTTTAGCAAGGTGTATTGGACTCACTAGCAGACGTTTATCTGGACGAGTCGGCCGGGATCATCCGGCCTGGCTGGAGTGATTCGATCCATCCACCCTTCGTGGAGTGAGTCCAAATGGTCCAGCTAAGGAGATTAGGAGTGGTACTTTGTCCATAGCGGAGGTAATCAGAATCTGATTATACTCACAAAACAATTTTTAAGAACATTTGGTCTTCCATGGAAAACGTCACACACGACTTTGCCAACTACTCATTGGCCCCTAATGACCAAAACCAATGCGTTTATGTGATGACTAACGTGTGAATTTTTGGATGTGAATACGTTTCTTCTCATTTGTATGTACAATGTAACCTCAGCTTTCCTCGTAACAAAGAAAATAATTGCAAACTTTCATGTTGCACGTTCTTGTCTACATTCAGAACTAACTACTTTTTCGACTTCGAGTACCACTACTTCTATTTTGGATGATGGTTTTCACACTCAACCGCCGCTGATTTTCTTCAGACCAGTAGTTGTCCAGTACAATTTTGCTTTCACCAATCTTTTTTCATCATCCAATCAGAAATAATTCAATTTTAGATGGATGATCAACAATCATCTCAACCCTTTTTCACTATGACACACGACCTCTTTTTCACCCAGTGATCATGGCCCATTACTAGTTCAAACTGTACAGTGATCTTTTCCGAGGCAATTGCATCCAGTTGTGCATTGCTCCGTGACGCAGTTCAGAGTCAAAAATTGTGTCCGGTATGTAGCAATTTCCCCTATCGTATCTTTTCCTGCTCAGACTTTGAAGTATGCAAATGACGATATTTGAGCCTCTCTGTATGCCATTATTATCGCAGTAGTGTTCGAAAGAACGTAATAAGCATTCGGTTCTTTAGGGAGATTGACGGATAAACTCAAATTTACTAGATACACTCCTCAACTTTCTTCTCTGCGATGCATAGCAAGACGTTTCTGGGTGCATGTAAGCTTTGCCTGGTCTAATTAAGTAATCCATGTAATCCAATCATTTTTTTCTCTTGCGCAACCCATTAAGATAACGTTTTGGATAAAGAAGTAAACTTTTTTCCGTGTGATTCGAATTTCATTGGGCAAATAGGCCAGTCGGAAAATCGATATTCCTTCGCCACTGCTTCCAGTGAAATATCTCATCAAATGATCACCAGAGAAGGTAAGGTAAATGGTATTGTTGACTTAAAATGCATAATTTTCAGGTGCAGCAAATTCTGAAGGTAATTTCATTATTTTTGGGGTGATTATCATAATGAGGTGGTCCCTTAAGGAGTTACAGCTGAAAACGCAGCCTCGTTATTCCTAATCATTTTTGTTCGTAAAAATAAATTATTTATATAAACACGTTTTGAAATCTATTCTCATAGTGGTTACTCGTTTTATTTTCGGCCAATAACCGTATAACAGTGATGATTAAGGTTTCGAAAGAAGAGAACATTGTTTTATTCGACGAAGAAATTGAAACCTAACAAATTCATAAAGTGGGTTATGTAAAGAAAACCAGGTGCAGTTCAACAATATCATTGTCTGATCCATGTCTTCTTCGATCAAGACATCTAATTTTCACTGTTTGAACGCAAATGTTCTGAACGTTATGTTCTACAGCAGACGCTTGTCCTCCGCAATCAGAGTTAATAGAAGCCGTTGGTAATCCCCAGATGTATCATCCTGGAACGCAGAAAATAGTAGCTCAAATACAATTGAATTAATAATATGATAAACAATCTAGGTTATGAATATCTCAATAGACTAATCATGGTTTCTTTTTATAGACTTTATCAAAAAGTAAATTAGAACCAAAAATCGGACATTGCAATTTACGAGAGGTAGAAACACTCAGGAATGTATCAAGTAATACAGAAATACGAGCTTGGAAAAAGTATTCATGTGAAACTTACGCAGATAGATCTGCTCAGGGTTTTTCCGTACTCCGTGAAGTATTCATGCAAAATGCGCCCCATGTCTACCTCACAACGTGTCACAACGATACGAATCAGCATGTTGTCATCTGTTCCAATGCCTTTAAGAGCTCTGTTAAGTCTTGACGCAAAGTAATTTGGCTTGTTTCGCACGCAACGAACTGTAAAATAAGTTTTCCACAAAATCCATGTTTCAGAAAATTATTCTGGCTACCAATTTCGCGTGCCCTCATTCAGCTGTGAACGCACATTTATATGATCACGTAAAACGAACAAACATAAGAGTTGAAATGAGTCATTTGAACAAGGTGGTGAACAAGTGAGTAGCGTGATTTGTGATTGGTTAGGGTCGATTCTGCCCACAAAGTCCTCTTGTGTTGATGAAATGGATAAAGGGGAAAGGATGTTTTACATTTTCGGGCTACATTTATTTGATTACGTTTACGCTGAGCATTTGCCTTTCGGGGTATCTAAAGCATATACTTGGATAATTTGACTTGAAGACTGATAGACCGGTTTATGTCTTCAAAATTCAACAACTAAATACTGCTAACATTTTGAAGGTTACAAAATACTGTGAATATGTTTTCATCCACTTCGAAGACAATCGTCAACAACACAGAGTTATCATAATCACGGAGCACATTGATTTGCTGACATTCGACGGGGAACACACACTCTTGGTTATTTGGACTTACTTAGACCCACATAGGAGCGCAGTAGTTCTCCGCTTACATGTGATTCCATAGCCACTTCGATCTCTTTATTGGCCACTCGGGCATACGCATCAAACACGCAACGCATATGAGCCGGAGATCGAGTCGAAAGTAAATCCAACAGTCTATCAGAAGAAGAGATGTTTGGATTAAACTTACAAGATAAGTTCTACATGATTATGATACCACGTTGTTTGTACAATCTACAATGTAGTTTTCTTATCACAGATACACAGGGTTTTACGTGTGAATTTATTGACTCACTTTCAGTAATCTGGTATTAAGGTAGTTCAGTTTATTCAAAGAAACCAAAGGAAATAGTATTTAACAGTAATGCAGTTGCTGCATCGTTCAACTACTTTAATCCCTTTTCCCTAATCACTAATGACGTTTTCTATCCTGACGAAACCTCAAGTTCATAGAGCTAAAGTCATTGCACCTAGGTGCAAGAAGCTGGGTCACAGCTAGTAGTCCGTAGCAAACTCTCAGGAGTGAAATACGGCTTCAAGTAGTTACCAAACCATTTAAAACGCTTCATAACACCAACAAACACTATTATGTACTTGTACGATACCCCTTGAGTATTCAAAGTACTCATCAAGCATTCACTGGAGAAGTCCCTTGAATGCTGATAACCCTGAGAGCGTAACTGACAATTTCGGGGAGGATGAATCATATCACGTTCAGCTCTTGCAATGCTGCTAACAGTCCTACTCCAGTTCTTTTCAAAACGCCCTTATGACTCAAAACACTACAGTGTTCTTCAGCTTACTGTTGTTGCACAGAAACATTTCTTTTGTCAGCAGCCTCAAAGAGTTTGACTGCATCATCATGGGCCAAATTCCAATCAACTGTTTCGCTCTCGTCTCGTACATTCTCCAGCTGGGTGAGAAGGAATGCTCGGAAATGTCCGCATGTGCTGTTTCGAATATCGGTTTCCAAATCGCGCCCAAGGAAGACTAGAAACAAAAGTAATAAAACCAAAATACACTTTGGGATAGTTGAATTGGGGTTGTATGTTAGTAATGCGATACCAGTTTCAAATGGCTTACTTCGTTTGTATGCTTCTTTGATCAGCTTAATTTGCGCGTTAGATCTTGTGTACAGGATCTCAATCAGAGTATCTTCGTCCGTTCCGGCACCACGAATAGCTTTGCGTAACTCAACCGCATCCAGATCTTGTGGAGGGAACAACAAAGCTTCAATGCAGTCAAAGAAGTGTCCACTCAATACTGTGCGGAACTCCTTTACCAAATCTTTTCCGTACATCAGACGGTAGTGTTCAACAATTCGAAGACGTTGATCAACCGAACGATTCCCAATCACATCAATAATGGCTTTCTCGTCCACACCGTAACCTTTCATCGCCTGATGAAGCCGTTCACAATCTTCAAACACATTGAAATTTGGATACGGTCTCAGAGATGGATTAATCTGTTAAGCAAATAGCACACACAATTAACATACGATTATTGAAAATGTGGCTTTCATGAGCTGAAAATAACGGGCAAATAGCTGTTTCACGGTTCACTGAATTTTGATTTTAAAACCATCACAAGGACTCATCGGTTGCCGCTCTACTGATACGCTGCTGGATAGCGAAAGTTCTATGGATGGTAAAGTCAGGTATTCATTGTTTGTAACGAACCCTAAGCTATCAATTTATAGTTAGCTCACTTAGACCAATTAGTCAGCTTTTCAACCAATGTATACATCCTTCCAAATACGTTAGCAGAGCTTTGATAAGCCGGTTCATTCATTTTTCATGATCGTATCAATTAAATTAATCCGTCGCATCAGTTATATTATGCACCTAGTGGATGTGACACAAGTGATCGCAAAGTCTTTATGTATTGTGACACTATGTTAGGGACACACACTTATTTCGTTGACTCACCACTTCGTCTGCTCCCAGCAGACGGCCGGCTGGCACCATTCCTCGATAACCAACATATGGTGGTACATAGCCGGGTGAAACACCATAGTACGGACCGTAGTACATAGCTCCGGGTGCCGGCGCAATCAACTCGTGATACGGGGCATTGTGATACGGATAGATCGGCGGAGGACGTCGAATTGGGAACCGGTATCGAAGCGGTGCCTTTCCGATATGTCCGATTGACATAGCCAGTTCCGAGTCACTTCGATACATGATGGATCTGGTTGTGATGTCAAAATAAGTGCCAGACTGAAACAGACAATACAACCTTGCTTGTTTTTACTGTTCGCGTTTTTATATGGTGGTCTTTGTAAACAATCTGTCTCACTATGAGTATGAGATTATTTCTCCAGCTGAGTTACGCTGGCGAACCAAACGATAGAGAGAGACATTGATCAGGTACTAAATAGCGTGAAACACTCCTGCTGGGAGTGTCCCCCGACAAATACCTGCTGCTTGACATCCAATTCATATGGTTTCAGTTGTGATCACATAGTTGTAATTGCATATCAGTTGCTACCACTGAGTTGATAGGGTTGTCTATTTTCATTTTGAAAACCTAAATATCTCTAATTTTTTTTCCAGCAGGCCCGGTTTGGGCCATGATGGAGATCCATCTTGGACCACGGTAATCTTAGGCGTGTGCTGAAGAATGGGTTGGGTTGAGTCTTAATCAGAAAAAATGACTAATGAATGTTTCGCCTGACTCATTCTCGAGATTATTAGTGTTCATTTTTATTGAATAATCCATGTTTATCAGCGAATAATTAAGGGGTCAAGTGAAATAATAAATATAATTTACCAGCGATCAAAATGATCCATATTGGACTAATAATATTTAAGTGTGAAGTCTTTCAATGCAATATTTTTCAGTTAATATGAGGTATATTTATTTTATTGGTCGTGCAGTGATCTAAAAATAAAATGCGTAGCTATAACGTCAATTTTTCGGAATTACAAGAGAATTGATTATATGGTAGCCCCAAAAGACAACACTCCATCTCTTGTTCCACTGCATGCACCCTGGGTTAGCTTTCTGACAGCCTCCTGGGTTAGCGGTCAAATATATCATCAGACGTTTCGGAAATAACAACGAGACTGCTCAGATCATATGGAATCCAAGTAGCCCACAAACCAACCGCCTGTCTAAGGAGACTTCTGTCAATACCAAAGGAGAGGGCAATGGAGAAGGACAAGAGCAATGTTGCCTATAACATAAACTGCATGAACTCCCAAGAACACTATATCGGACAAACTGGAAGAAAACTATCAACTAGGATCTGTGAAAATCTATCGGCAGTCAGGAGGCATGATCCACTATTTCCCTACATGAAGATCAAGGTCATCAGTTTCATTTGGAATCAGTGAAAATTATCTACCAAGTTTGGTAAAAACACGTCAGAGAATTTCTCGAGGCCTGGCACTCTCTAATCAACTTAATAAAAAGGCACACACTCCAATGCAACTCTAGGATTAAATGATGCAACAGAAAGATCACATCGTCACCTGAGAACGGACTAAACCCGCAACCGGGACGGATGAACAACCCCCCACCCTCACCTCATCGCACCAGTTCAACGACGAACCGAATAGGGCACAGTGAGCACACGGGACAAAAATAATGATCGGTGGAGAAGAACGCACATAAACGAACGGGTGCAAGCAGAACACTACCAATACACAAGCGCTAACGATGTCACCTCGGCTGGTGATGAAACGTTTGCAAACAAATTTCCAAGCTCGGCGAACAGGCGAAACGGAATTAATCATCCCACTGGCGCGTGGTTTGTGTTTCAGTCCGGTTGTGTTAATAACCGTTTGTGATCCAGTTCGGATCTCAATGGGTTTTATTTTACAGACCCCTTTTCCACAGCTTTCAGTCGGTGAATGGTATGTTGAATTTGCATGATGAATCTAATTGCGGACGTTCTTCTGATGACCATTACTCACATCATCTGGGTTGGATGAACAGTGCTTCTGTTCCACAGAACGCGTTTCATTTGAGAAAACTCATGCAACCATGCTTATTGTCTATATCTCATGCAGTTATTGTGGTGACCGATTGGCTGAAAAGAAACACTTATATAAAGAATTTGAGTAATAAAACCCTAAAACCTGCAATCTCTTGGATTGTAGAGTGCACCTGATGAATCTCAAGAACCAGAAGACTTAGCATCACGATGAGGTGCTCCAATGTATGTGCGTATATAAAATTAGTGACGTTTGTTCTCTCAATAAAATCAAATAAAACAAACATTTCCGACATCATCCACAATCCGCAACGAGCTCACACTTTCAAGAGCTGATCCCATGAANTCAGATAATTGTGGATAGACCCATAGCACGTCTTTTTGTAAATGTTTTCCTTGCAATATAGGAAGCTCTGACGCATTCAGTCAGTAACCAAACCATTGGAAAGTGTGCACACTTGAGAGCAACGAACTTTTGTTCCAATTCAGATTCAAAGTATTCATTATTCCGTACATTTTCTTGGTTCTCTGTGATACTGAGCAATTTACAAATATAAAACCCTGTTCTGCCTTGAGGACTAACGCACATTCATGTAATGTTTAAAAAATGTTTCGAACGCTTGGAATGATCGGAGTGGGGTTGTGGATCAGGCACTCTTTATTTTAAGATTGACAATTCACCTCTACACAAACAGAAGCGAACACCATTTAAATGAAGTCTTTTTTTAA